TGTGTATCCGAATGATTTGCAGAAATGGCCTGGACAGGCTTTTTGGAGGAAACCAATTGATGAATTTGAGGCAAAACCTTCCCTAGCTTCCAGATGAAACACTAACCTTCAGAGCCTACAATGAGGTTATAATGAATCTAGATGGTTAATATTTCTTATATTCTTCTTCCTTACATTCTAGATATTAATTGTTAAATCATTAATCTTAACAGTTTAGTCACTGCTTAAAAATCTGCAAAACACTGTTCAGATTTTTGTCTTGGATTTAATAATACTGAGCTGTAGCATGTATCTTCCTAGGCTAGCCCTGACCATAATACCTGTTACCACTGTTACATGTTTCCTGCCCCTGGGTGACGCTAACATATTTAGCTATAAAATTTTATGGCAGTATTAGTTGCAATTTGAATAAAACATAATACATGCCTTTAGGCTTGCAAGTTCTCTTGTATGCCAATTCTTTTGTATGCCATTTAAAAAAAATTGGTAACTCAAAAACTGGTGATGACAACTTTCTGGTTTTTGGTTGTGTTTTTTTTTTTACCAACTGTCTGAATAAATGTACCCCCATTACCCGCTGGTCAGTTGGGGGTTTTTGTCAGCTAAGAATAATAATCTTAAAACTAAATTGCAATTATTGTCTTGATTTAAATTGACTACAATTGGCAAAGTTAATTTAACTTGCTGGATTTTGGGCCAAGTTGTGGATAATGGCATTATTTCTGTTGACAGTTTTATATTCCCCTCTGGGTTCTAGCTATTTAAAAAAAAAGAAAAAAAAGTAAATATTTAGTTACCAAAAAAAGTGATACTGTGAATTAAAAAAAGGTCAAGAACAGATTTAAGAGGCAGTTGCATTTTCTTTTTCCTGCTTCCCAGACTTTGCTAATTCAGGTCTTGTGACCAGTATTGCACTTGAACCTTGGTTTATAACTTCATGATGAAGTGATGAATGTCAGTTACAAAATAGCAGTATTCCTTACTCTGCCATTTCATTTTATTCCTTCTGCGATAAGACTAATTCTGGTGTCTTATTCAGCACTATGGCACAGGACGAGCTGGTGAATGGCTATCATGAAATGCAATACTGGAGTACTTCAGGGTTTTTTTCCCAGACATTTAAACTCTGAACTGTTGGATTTTGACTGAATTCAGTTCTTGAAAGGGTGTTTTGTAATTTGGATTTTTGTTTTCCCTCCAGTAAAACAAGCGAAGGGCATGTTTCCTTTGCTGTGCTCTGAAGACTTTTTTTTCTTGTTTTTTTGCTGAGCCTTGACAATTCAAATAGCCAGAACATCTTCCTATGAATAAATATCCTATTCTGAAATAAATTTTGCTATCCAAAACTGCTTTAAAGAATTTTTTTGGCTGAGATGTATTCCCCAGGTGCCTTCATATCTTGCAGATTTTTGAAATGTGTTATGCTTTAAAGAGGTAATATTGGAAGCGATTCTGTAAAAAGGTTATTGGCTTTCATGACACAGTGGTTATTTAGTTCTTTCTGCTTTAATTCTTTTTTTCCTCCCAACATCCCAGCTTTAAACTAAGCCTTGGCCTCTGCAAGTAGAGCTGAGCTGGTCTAGCCCCTTCCCCGCAGCAGGCAGCCTCTGTACCTGCTAGTGGCAGAGGGTACTTCAGCTGTCGGTGAAGCTTTTGTGCTTAAAGGTTTGTTTTGGTGCTCCATGGGGGAGAGCTTTTTCCTTGACCCTGGTCCTGAGCAAGTTGGTGTGATGTGGCCCTCCTTTGAGCAGGGGTGGGACGAGCTGCTCTCTCCAAGCTAAAGACTTGTGTCTTGGCTCAGGCAGACAGTGTCAGGATTGGAGCTTCCCTCTCTGAGCGTGAGTAGGGCTGACCTGCACTACTTATCTGAATTTATTCTGTCAGGCTTCTCCTATCCCTGTCTCATTAGTACATGTGATCCAGATTTTTTTTTTTTTTCCCTGATTAATTTTTATCTCAGTGATGAGGGAAGCTGTATGTCAGGCACACTTCCAGGTGAGTTTAGCAAGACTCTCTTTTATAAAAGAAAGTTCTTATGGATGTGTCAGGAAGATGCTGTTACCTACACAGGAATTCCCTATGGTCAGACAATAGCAGTCTGGTCTCTGAGCATGGTGTCACCATGCTGTCCTTAGTGACCTCTTTTTTAATGTTTGACTGCATTAGTGATATTGAAGCACCTTAGGTGCCCTGCTTCATAAAATGGCTATTGAGCAGGAATTCCACGCTACTGAAACACGTTATGCCAATGATGAAGTAATTTTCACTTATTTTTGACTCCTTGCTGTTTTTCCTCTAGCTTGCACTAATTCATATTTCCTCTAACCCCAAAGTGATGTCCCCCAGCACCTTTCCTTTTAAAACCATCCCAAGATAGTTCTTGACTTAGGTTCTGAAGGATGAAGATTATGTCCTTTTTAGTTCCTGTCAGTCAAAACTCCCAATATTCATAGATGTAAAAGATTCTTTTTTTCCCCCTCCTGCTAAATGCTTGTCCTCAATTCTTCCTTTTGGTAATAAGTTTCTAAAAAACATCTACCCACTGTTTTTTAACTTTTTTTTAATAGCTTTCTAACTACACAGAATAGAATGTAATTATGTAGACCGCCATGTGCTATCAAACTCAAAAATCAGTTGTAGTTATCTCTAGAACATCAGTGTTGTGGGTTTTTGTAGCATTTTGTGAAAAAAAAAGTCATCTGTCTTCTATGTTGGTACCCAAAATACTTCATTTGGGAATTATCTAAACTAACTGGTTATCATAATCACAGCAAGCTATGAAAAGAAGTCTTCCTCAGAGGTAAATAGTGTTTCCTGTAAGTTTGTTTATGCTCTTAACAGCTTTTTATCATTAAATCCTCGTATATGGATAACTAGGTTTGAAGAATAGATGGTACTTCAGCAGGGATGGTTTCAGTGGCAGTGTCACATGGAGCTAAGGAACCATGGTGGTTGGTGTGATAGCTTCCCGCCGGAGCAGAAATCTGTGGAAGGCAGCACTTTTGGTGACCTCCTGTGCTTGAGTTCGTGATCTGGGGTTTTCATTCTCTTCCTGGCATCCAGCAGGATGGAGCAAGGGGAGGTCAGGAAAGCTTCATCAGGAATGCGATGGTTCTGGCTTAGGTTGCGTGGCCATCCCCAGGGCATCTAGAGCTCTTGGAAACAGTGTCCTCAGTTAATGTCTTTGGTTCAAAGTGGTTCTTGTTTTCTCCGGTATTGTACAATTTGCTGTCTCTGAGAAAAGCTGCTGTAAGTGCAGTACTAGTGTATATAGGCAGCTCTCTCTTTTTCTGTGCTTGTTTAAAAGCTCTGCTTAACCTGTGAAGATGGAAGGAGAACTCTATGCAGGCAAGCACAGAAGTTTGTGTTAGGGAAAATGAGTCCCATCTCCAGTTCCATCCTTCTTGAACACAAGCTGAAAATTTTGGTCTGATGCTTTCTGGCTGTCAGGCACCAGTGATGCCTCTGTCTTTGGAAGGCCGGCTCTTGTAGGGCTTCCCTCTGTTTATCAGGGACGTTCCTCCTCCAGCCTGAGGTTCAAATCTGAATTTATTGACATTTTCTAGGGAAAAAAAATAAATCTGTATTTCTGTAGTATTTGGGCTGTACTTTTCCCAGTTGCATGATGAGTACAGCTGGTGTTTGTAGAGCTTATGTAGTTACCTGTTGGGCAGAGAGAAGAAGTAGCTCTTTGATAACTGATAAACTTTGAAAATTATTACAGTTTAAGACCTTTAATTAAATTATTTTGGAAGTCAGTGTCCTGCTTGGCTGAATACTGTTGTTATAGTATATGTATAATTTTTTTTTCCCCAAAAAAATTTAATTTAAATGGATATTTTAGTTTCTGCTTTACAGTAACTTTGAATATAGGAGTGACTTGGATTGAGGGATACTCACTCTAGTCTGCACTGTTCAGATGCTCAAATGCTTCACAGCCTGTGTTTGCAGCATTGTCTGTTCATGTACTTGGCTGTCCCAAGTGAAATCTGAATACTTGAACTAGTGTTGTAGGCTCCTCTCGTGTATTACCATTTTTTACCTTTGTCTGTAGAAGTTACCTAATCAAAAGTATGGAAGCAACTTGTTAAAAGCTCAGGGTTTGTAATACTGGAAGATACTGGGGCAACTTTTTTTTCTGCTTTAAAAAGGGGTCTTATGCTCAATATCCACATTAAAAACAAAACAAACAAAAAAAAAACCAAAACAAAAAAAAAAAAAAAAAAAAAAAAAAAAACACCACAAACTAAAACCCCTAACAAACAAACCTAAAAAAGTAGCTTGTTTTCATTCCCTTGCCCCTGTGAAATGGGTAGCTGTTGCTGCTGCATTCTATGCATCGCCTCTAATAGACTGCATTAGCTTCCTATAGACTACTCCATCAAGTTCAGGAGTGATGTCCTGGTCCTCCAAAGGTCTTAATGGTTTGAGGCTAGGATACCTGAAATATGCACCAAATGACCAAACTTGATCTGATGTTACTGGAATCAGTGGTCTCTAATGTTGGCATAGTATTTTTCATTTATTCTCACACTAGTTATTAAAAGATGCCTTCTGTCAGAACAGAAATACTAGAATGTTTTTGTAGACTGTCTATGGAGGAAGGAAGGTTGTCTGATGCATGCCTAGAGGACCTCTAAAAACAAATAATAAGATACAATTCTCTTTAGATGTCCTGTTTTTTTTTTTTTTTTAATTTTAGTGTGTTTTTCTAATTTTCAGTTATAAAGATGGCTATTAAGTGGCTTCTAATGTTTGCTGTTGCTTTGCATAATCACTAGTTTAATCTTGTAAAGATTTTATGGCTTTTAATACGTTATCTTTTGTAAAAATAATAAAAATGTGTAGCATGTGTAGATGTGAAGCATTTTTCTTCAAATTTTAAATCTATTAAATAACATAAATGGGTTTTTACCTGGTAACAATTTGGTAAACACTTTATAATAAACTGAATTTGTGATGAACTAGCTAACTTTCTCATTTCATTTTGACTTCTCTAGAGAAGTTGGAGGTTGCACCACCATCTCCAGGACAACTGAAACATGGTAAAAGAAGAATGTTTGTTGAATGTGATTCAGTACTTGTGCAGTCTGTCTTTGAATTGCTTCATCTTTCTTCTGCAAATGCTGGTCTGTCCTCATCCCTGTCGTGTGGAGTAACAGAAAACGAAAGCAAGAACCTACAGTCACCCTGCCTTCTTTATTTCATAACACCTTAGCTGGAGAGTGTGCACCATTTAGTGAAAGTAGGACAGAAAGCCCAAATGAGACTGTGCTATTCAAAGCCAGTAGCAAACATTGTTTTTGTAAGCTGAGCCATGTTGATGCTGCAGTACCTTGTGACGGCTTTTGTGTTTAAGCTAAAATGAACACATTGTATTGAGAGGAAGCTTCAAGTCTAACTTGCTCTCAGCATAGTGCCCAAACAAAATCAAGATACAGACGTTCAGGTTGAACAGTGAGATATTTAATGCTGTATGACACACAAGTGAAAACCACCGTAACATTTGCAGATTTAGCTGAAAGAATTTTGATAACAATTGCCTAGCTCCAAGCAATACTCTTAAAATATGTGCATGAAGAAGGTGGAGCTCTTGCACACGAATAGAAAGGCACTTGCAGAGGAAGAGGCTTTATTTCGAGCAAGAGAAGAAAGCAGGGAGTCTGGTGAGACAGTTTGGCAATCTTCATTGATACTGCAACGTCAGTTGGAAATAGATAAATAGTATCAAAGTTTGTGTAGTTTTAAATATTTCTCTTATGCAGTAGTAGGCATAAGTGGCTTCCATCCAAAATTGTACAAGTATTTGCAGAGTAAGTTGTGACTGGTTCTTCACAAGCCGTTAGTAACACTTATGTGTAGCAAAGGGGTTTGCCAAAGCTGCCAGAAAAAGGTCACTAACAGAGGTAGTAGGAAAGGGATTTTGTGTATGTTCTCTTTATTTCTTTTAAAGGCAGTATTAGACTGACATTTCAGTAGTCATGTGAACTAGTGCACTCCCTTATAAATATTTATTTTCTCTTTGTTACTTATTTCTTTTAGTGTTCTTCCACAATGCATTACCTTTTGTAGGGTTTGGATTTTTGGATAACGCAATTATGATTGCTGCGGTAAGTTAATTATTTAATGTCTTGATTGAGTCAGTAAAATTCATATTGTTCAAGTAGTATTAGAGTAAATGAGAGCTTCAGGAAGACTCTGTTTCCTCTGTATCAACTCACTAATTTCCACTTTAATTTTTCTTTTTTAAAGAAAATGCCCATGTTCAACTCAGCCTTTGCAGATTCCCTTTCCTAATTTGTGCTGCAAGACACATTTATGATCATGTAGTTGATACATATTTTTTTTTTTTGTACCAACTGATGGTAATGTGATTATAATGTGTTGATGAATAGGTCTCCAGGGGTTTTACTGATGTGTTCCTTTGTTCTGAATGATGCAGGCAATGTTAGTGCTGGTGCTGATTTGTATTGATACAGACTGGCATTTCTGAGTAACACTGAGATATTTTCCTGTTCATTTGGAAGATGAAATGGGCTAGTAGAACAGGAGGATGGATAAAGGCCAAAGACACTGTTCCTTGTGTAGAATTATAATTGACAATGGGACCTTAATCATGGGACAATTCAAGTGAGAGGGGACCCCAGGACTCCCTAAGTCTCTTGTCTTGCTCCTGCTCAGGACCTCCTCAGGGTCTCTGATCTAACCTCCAGCTAAGTGCAGGGTCAGCTATAAGGTCAGATTAAGTTGTTCGTGGTTTTATCCTGTGGGTCTTGAGAAGATCCAAGGGCAGAGACTGCACAGCCTGTCTGGGCAACCTATTCCAATTGTTGGCTGTTCTCACAGTGGAAGACATCTTCCGATACCCAACTGCAACATGTCTTGTTTTAATTCATGCACATTGTCTCTCAGCTTTGGACCTTGTACTGCTGTCTCATCATGCATTTCATTCTGATTTTGTTTCCTCAACTGAAAAAGTAAGGAGCTGCAATACTGTGATTTATTTGTTTGCTCAGTATTTGTAGAAGTTTGTGTTCAGAGCTGTACATTCAGCTAAGAGTTACAGTGGGGAAAATGGTATGCAGAAATAGGGATTACAGTTTTGTCCATTAAGTGGCCATTATGAAACTATAAAATATTAAAATAATATCAGAAGTAAAATTTTGTCGTGGGGGAAATACATACTCTAAGAGGGTAGGAGCAGTGCAGATCTAGTAGAAGTAATGTCCATTTATCCTTTCAATCTTAACATAAACAAGCAGGAAGCAATACTTTTGCCAGTTGAATCAATACAATGTATTTTAACTCCAAATCCCTTAAATAATGAGAACTCTTCTTTTTCAGGGAACCCAAATAGAGTTGTCAATTGGAGTTGTCTTAGGAATTTCAACTATGGCAGGCAAGTAGTAAAAATGCAGTATGTTTAGACTAATATTGCATATTCTAGTATTTTAGGCTGAAAATGGGCCACAGGGCTGGAAATTGCTCTTCCTTGGTCTTGCAGATGCCTTTCCTAATACAGAAACAACCTGTGGTTGAAGCAAGGACGTATTCCATTTGCAGAAATGGAATTTCAGTTCAAATAGCTTTTGAAATGCTTGGTGGTTTTAATCTAAAAGTTCAAATCCTGGGTCACTTGGGAAAGTGTATTTGCATTTTGGTAATGGAACTGCTCTAAATTCCCTAGGGTCTGATATTTATTTATGTGTATATATGTATTTGTAAGTTGCTGTTTGCTTGTAGTGCTATGTGAAGATCAGTGTTGGTGTCCTTTTACTGTGTTGGCTGGTGTTCTTGGTGGCCTCTGCCTCCATGCGATACCACAGGAGGGCCAAGCAGCCGCCCTGCTCCTGCACTGGGCCAAAACTGATAAGCTTTGCTTGACACCTTTGGCGCTTCTGCAATGTCAGAGGCAAAAATCTGCTCATGGATGCACCAACTGCTGGTGCAGCGTTGCTTGAAAGCATGCAGATACCTTAAATGAAAATGTGTACAGCAGAACAAATTAATAATTTGGAAATTTGTAGCCCTCTGTTGCAATGCAAGACAGTCACAAGCAAGCTTATCTCAGTAAGGTCTGCTGTGAAATCATGTATTTTAAGTGTGTAGCTTTATTCCATCATATGTACAGTATTTATTCCTAAACTGACACAGTTCTTGGATATGATGAAATGTTTATCAAAGGTACATACATGTGTCATCGTGTTTCAATGGCTCCTGTGCCTCCTCAGGCTGTATGAAACTGGCAACAGCACATGGGCGTTAGAACTCTGATCTGAAAAATAGTTACATTGATTTCCAGGTGATAGTGTTGTCTTTTTGTATTTGTCAAGTTTTCCTCATAGAAATTGAGAAAAACAATTGTGCTTCCTATTACTATTAGTCTGCTGCTGTTACTACAAACTGCAAATAAGGTCAGAAGGAAAACTCTGAAAGAAAAGAAACTTCTATCAAGTCTTTTATGCTATATATACTGAGAAGAGGGGAGGAGCTGGTTGGTTTTGTTTGTAATTAAAATAATACTTTGCACTCTCCCATTCTCTTCCTTCTTCCTCCCTTCAGCTGCAGCTTTGGGAAACCTCGTTTCAGATTTAGCTGGACTGGGGTATGTCTGAACTTGTATTAAGACTATTTTATTTTTCTTTCTCTCCTGAAAACACTATGGGTGCTACTGAACTAAAATACTTAAACTGATGAAATTTCTTTATTTTTCATCCTTACTCTTGAATTTTGCTTCATTAAACTACATGACTGTAGAAATGTATTCTGTCCTTGCTAAGAAAAAGTTGGAATATTGCGTGGTTCTTGTTGGGGTTAAAGCTACAGTGCCATAGTTCTGAAGCAGAATAACTCTCCTGCTATTATAGTATTATGTATTTTAAGTGATAAAATAGGGGTTGACGTTTAACTTGATTCAGTGTAGGCTGTAGGTAGTGCTTGCTTTTAAAGGAAGTATTAGAATTTTTTCTACAAAAAGTATGTTTGTTAAAATACAAAAAATGGAAAAATACATCTTTTTGTGATATATTTCTGTGATAAAATATACCTAATATACCTCCTCAGATTGTTATGCCTAGATCTGAAGACATTTCCTTCCCCTCAGATAAAACAATTATGTAGCTGAAGTGTCTTCAGAACTAGGCACAGATGTACCTAACTTTTTTATTTTTTAAAGGAAATTTCTGAGTAATTGCTGAAAGTAAAGCTGTCTGTTATGCCTCTTTTTCCCACTTTCCCTCTAACTTTTTTTTTTTTCTGCAAATAACAAGGCTTATTGCTAGCTAGTGTGTGTGTGTAACATTTCCTTCAGTAAAGGTTACTTACAGGCTCTGCAAAAATACAGTAAGAGCCACACTGGTTATGTCTTACTACATAAAGTTTTTCTGGAAATATTGCATATTAAAGCACTGAGAAGATCAGTTAGTTTACATTGCAAAATGTGGCCATCAGAAGTCTGAGCACTTTCCCACATTTACCTCTCGATGGCTTTATCAATATGCTGAAGGAAAAGCTATTAATTTTAAGTGCAGTGCTTCAAATATTTCAAAATCCTCACTAGGAGATACTGTCAGATCCAAAATTGTTTGTTCTTGTTTTTTTGTTCTTATAGTCTTGCAGGTTATGTAGAAGCTTTAGCTTCACGACTGGGTCTGTCAATCCCTGATCTGACACCCAAACAAGCTGATATGTGGCAAACACGTCTCAGTGCACACTTGGTGAGTATCCTGTAGGTAGGCACTGTTTTCATGGAGCTTTTTTTGTTTAAATATGTGATAAAGCCCATTTGTCAGTTTTGCCATTAAATAATTAACAACCACCAACATTTTGCATGTTTCCTGGAAGATTGACTTGTGAGCCTGTGTCAGGGAGCATCATGAGACTGGATTGTTTCAGGCTTGGGTGGGTTTTTTGTGCAACAACCCCTGAATGACTAGTAACATGGATAGTCTCTGCAATGACTTCATGTATGCTATACACATACCTGGGGTGAGCTCTGGCTACTGTGAGAAGATAATTTATTTGAAAGTTAGGATCCCTTGGTAGTTTGCTCCTATACCTTCTGTGTGAAGCGCTTGCTGTTCATACCCCTGTGCTAACATGTATTCATTTCTAATATTCTATAATTAGCTTGAATATGAAATTAGTTTTCCCCTGTGTAAACTTTTAACTTCTGAGTAATATTCACTGCCTGGGTTTACAGTTATGGGACACTCATCTTGCAGATTAATTTTCAGGATGATTACTTAATTAACATTTAAACATTTGAAGCAATCCCACTTCAACAATAAGAGCATTAGTTTATTTTGATTAAAGAAACAGATACTTCTTTCACTTTGCCAGAATGAACCTTCATGGGGAAAAAATATCTTTGCAGATTTAAGAGAAAAGAAACAATACTTGTTGAGGAAAAGTTAGGGGGCAAAAAAAGTCTGCTTTTAGCAGTGATAGATCAAAGCATTGAGCAGAGAAGAATTGGCATGTTGTCAGAGGGCTGCCCTCCAGTCTGTCCAACAGAAGAGTCTTCTGGGTGGAAGCTGAGTCTGTGGCAAAAGCCTGTCATTGCACTGCAGTTAATTCACAGCACTTTTCTGTTAAAAGACTTCTGAGCATCTTTACCTGTATGCTAGCATTTTTTCTTTTTCACCTGTTGCAGCAATAACTTGTATAAAATCAGCCAAAATGAAAACTGTTAGCATAAGAATGATTCAACAAATTGATTATATCCCTTTAGAAGAGGATAACCCTGTCTGTGTCCCTGGTCCTGAAGACCTTAATTAGAGACCACATTCAAGTGTGTGGGTGTGACTAATCATGGGATGGAAGTGTTGGAAGTGTGGGAAAAGCAAAACAAGTGAAGAAACTGCAAGATACATGTTTCTTTAACACATGGTGCCCAGAACAAACACAGGACAGGATGGAGATCCGGTGATTTGTGTTGTCATGGCACCAAGGAGGAATATGAAGTGAGGTGGAGACCATGTGGTCCTGTTCTTCCACTTTTTTTCAAGGAATGTTTTAACACAACCATATAGATTTATCTCCTGCTCTTCCCCTTTTCCCAAGGCATGTTTTGCAGAAGTCTGCAGACGCTATCTCACGTGCTTCCTCTTTTCCACACAACTGCCTGCTTTTCCCACAACTACTCTGTGCACATTGCACCAAGGAATGTGCTGTGTCATTACTCAAGAAACAATGGCTTGACCACAGTCCCACCCACTCACACATACACATTTAGATAAATACTACCCTGAGTTTGTATCCAACTCAGAGGGATGATTATCTGACACCAGTTCGGAGGGGCAGATTGACAGGTTTGTGCTTTCACCCTTCCCCCCTCAGAAGGGATGCCTTTTGGTAAGATTTATGCCCTTAGCTATGATGAGCTATTACCCTGGAATTAAGTGTGTGATTGCAGTTGGTTTTGTGTGTAGTGCTGTATAGCCAACTGCAGTTTGTGCATTTATTGTAGGCAATCTCGAAGAATCTGTAGATGTTGCATAAGAATAAACTGTACTGTTCGTGAACCTGACTGCTGCTTTTGAATGCAGCCAGACCTACAGCATACGAGCTGTTCGTGCATCTGGTGTCGGGCCTATAGTCACAGCACTGATTGGCATATCTATTAAGAGAGAAGTCCAGCCACCCCTAGCCCCTCTAGTCTCTGAGGACTGGCTAAAACGCAAGGGGATTAATCTCTTACCAAATTAATTTGGCACCTTAAATGCAACACCCGTTGTCTCAAGTTTCTCAACACTGTCCGCCTACTGATGACGATGTGGTTTGGATGCTGCTTGTGTTACTTCTTTCTCTCCCCTTGACTTTTACATCTAGGTCAATTGTGAAATGTTTTCCAATTTGTTGTTGTGGTTTTTTTTTTTTTTTTTTTTGGTCTTTGCCTCGTGCTTTTTCAAGCCTTCACATTTGCAAGGAATTTCTTGTTCCTGACTTTGATAATTTGCATTACTGGATACAAGAAGATGCATTTATAATTGCACCTAAAATGTGTGTGGGTGTTGTTTTTTTTTTTCCCCCTTCACTGTCTTTCTGGCCATCCTTCTAATCCTTTGAATCTGTTTCTTCCCTTACCACCTGTGCAGCTCTTCATGGGTCATTCCCTTTCTCTTTATTCAGAATTGTCTTTTATCGCAGCACACGCTGTTTCTAACCTTGTCATATCTGCCTCATAGATGATGTTTCTAGTCTGCATGCTACGAAAAATGTGGCTCCCAACCAAAAACTAGAACAAAGGGTCTGTTTTCCTGGTTGTGTTGGTACTACACAGCAAATGAGTAGTAACAGTGAGAAACTTAATCTTTTCCTCCTCTCTCCAGGGTAAAGCTATTGGAGTGACCATTGGCTGCATTTTAGGAATGTTTCCTCTGTTGTTCTTTGGTGATGAGGAAGAAAAACTGGAAGAAAAAAATTAACCTTTTTACAAGACATATACAAATGTAAACTACTGTACCTCAATTATTCAATTATGCTGTCAATATTTAGGAATTAACAGACAGTAAAAAAATGTATAGACTTGGGAACAAAACCTTCAGCATGTCGTTTTATGGAAACACTAATTTATTGTGGCTTTGTTGTGTTCAGTACTTCTTTTTATAAGATATCATCTAACTTTTTATTTAATTGTAAATTTTTGATGTGTTTTCCCTAATGGCAACTGATGTTTACCACTTTCCCTTTGACCTTATTCTTAGATGGATTATTATTAATCCACCATGGATGACGTTATCACTCTTGAGTTGCATATTGGTTGCTTAAAAATTGTAATTGCATGACAAGAATCCCACTGCTGTCCATCAGGTCCTTCAATGCAGATTATTAAGGATGTCAGTGATGAGTGTTTTGAAGTCCCTCACTTTGCAAGATGACTGGTTGCCCCCTCACCAGCCATCATTTTGCACTGACTTTAGATTAGATATTTTGGTGATCTACAACAGTCTAGTTTGCATTTTTTCACAATTCTGACTATGTGTCTCTGAATTGTCTTCTGAGATGATCATTTTAATGCTTTGACAAGGTAAGTGTTTCCAATGTAGGCTCTTTACCAAGTGCATTTTTAGTGGTGTTTTAACACCTTCTGTACTTCCATATTCTTGCTTCTTTTTTTCCTTTGTAAACAGTATCTTGAGAATTGAGTTAAGATATCCTTAAATTTGTCTTCCTGAGTTTTGAGTGTGATATTACAGAATTCAGACCAACTGTTTCAAAAATACAAACAACTTTTTTTTTTTACTATTGTTTTGCTTAAAATAAGGTGTGAGTAGTTGGGGTGGACGAGGCCAGGGAACACTTCAGTGTATGAATGAGTGCTGGCATTGCAAGTTTGTAATGGGTGGTTCAACTGAAACAATAGTGTACCGTCAGTCTGGATTAGAGGACCTGATTTGCAGATTATAACTTTGTATTTAAGATTAAGCCTTTGCTACTTTTTTTTTTTTTTGCTGTGAGACAATTAGTAAAAACAAAACAACAAAAAAAAGGAGACTTGCGGCCTTTTTCCTTTTTTGACTTTTATTTTGGCAATATTTCTGTATTATTGATCTGACAGTGCAATCACATGTACCTGCTTTTTTTATATGGTCAATAAATTAATTACAACTACCAAATATTCATAATATTTCAGGATCTGACTTGCCAATATCATATGCTAAACTGGTAACTGTTGATTAGAGGATAGGATTTCTTACCTGTTTGAGTACCATTTGGAAAAGACACTAAAAAGAGAGCCACAGCCAGAGCACTTTGAAAGTTTTACTGTTAGAATTCTTAGCACTTCTGAAACCCAGAAAGAAAAAAAAAAATATCAAGTCCCCTGATGAATTCTGTTTGCTGTAGAAGAAGTCTTATTGTAATATGTACATTTTACAGAGGTCAATGCTTATCTCTTGGTCATAAATCTGACTTCTCTGTTCTCGTTTCTAGGAGCCCTTTAACCAGCAGTATTGAAACTTTGACATCAACCTTTAATGAAAGTGACAGTGTTGTATCTGTTTTTTGAACAGCAGACTTTGAAAACTTGCAGTGAGTAGTCCTAGTAGCATGTACTGTACTTTGTACATTAAACCATGAGAATCTGGACCAAACTGTAAAACAAATTTCAGCCAGGCATAGAATATAATGCGGAGGAGTTCTGGCTTGCGTTTTCAAAGTTGGAAGCTTCATTAAAAAAAAAAAAAAAAAAAAAACAACCAACCAATAAACAATCAACAAAAATTCTCCAACCACACACACAGGGAAAAAAAAAACAAACACATACAAAAAACAATTATGCTATAAGATTATGCACTCTTTCCCCATCAGATTGCTGCTGATTTACAGTACTTCAGTGACAGATTTTTTTAGTCATCCACACATTTGGCTTGCCTTAAACTCTAACTTTTCTTCCTCTGCATGTACTTTTATTTCTGGTATGTTTCTATACAAAGCTGTAAGTACTTCACATGTGTTAGGTGTTTTTTTTAAAAATCAAAGTACACAGCAAAAAATTTTGCATAACTTTTTTTTTTGTAGCTGTTTTTACAGTAATTCCAACATTGTTTCCCATTATGATACTGGCATCTTCACTGGGATATTCCAGCAGTGACCAAACCTCTGTTCTTTGCTGTCATACCGACTGGAACACTGTTTTCATCACTTTTTTAGAGCTCATGAGAACAATCAGAAGGCTGTGTCAGCTGTCATAGTAGTGTTCACTTTATAATGGCAATAGGAAAGACCATGTACTATTGTTAAATAGCTTGTGCATGTACATTGAGTACATTTTGTTGCTGTGTGTCAAACTATTGTACTGCAACCAATGCTTTTGTCAAGAATTAATGAACTAAAATATCGTCAAAGAAATTAATCACGTTGTCTTGACAAAACTATTTAGGTAACCACAAAAATGTGGAGGGCAAGTGGCACACGGGAAGAAATCTTGGGTGTTTCAGGCTGTTGTTTGATACCATAATCAAGAAGGTGACTTCTGGGGTTTCAGTATTTGACAAATGTGAAGAAATAACTAATGTTTTGAGAGGAATAGTGGACCTGGATGCTGAGAGAAAGTGCTTGTTGGGGTCAAGCTGCCACCCTCCGTACAGGAAGGGTAGCTTGCTTTGCCTGCAGGAACCACGCTTGTGTGGATGTGGTATTGCTTCGTGTGGAAGAGAAGATCTGTGCCTGATCCATGCCCCCTCTCCTCACAAGGAGGGTGGGTTTTTCTGGGGTGTATGAATGAAAGTAATCCCTGATGCTCTGATCACTCTTTGTAAAACACTTAACTGAGAAGACAGAGCATTAACAAAGCACTCCTCTTTTTCTGTTGTCTTCTCCCTCCTCGATAAAAGGAAAAACAGACACTACAGGCTTATTCAGAGACTTCAGTATTGCTCCATTTTTATTCTATCGGTTTGTCTTGTGTTCACAGGAATTTTTTGCATTAAAGGGCTGGTAGACCTGAAATTGTGTTTATTTCAAAATGCTGTCTTTTATTGTAACTTAAAATATAAATGTATTTTTGACTGTATGTTATCTCTAGGGACAAAGAACATGCATCTGATAATATGATTACCCAAATCTTCTCGACAATATTTTCTCATTAATGTACTTTTACATAAATTATTTGAATTCAGACAACATATTTTGTATTGTCTTTAATTAAATTGTCAAACTTTCTGTAAACTTTTGTACTACAGCAAAGCTGTTCTGTGTTTCTTTATTAGACCAGATGCTGGAGGGGAAATGTTAATAATATCCTGTGGGTATTCAGCCTCAGTTATACTAAACAGGAATTTATTATTTAAGTTATAAGCAGGTGGTCTTTTGTCACTCTCATAGGAGATATCACCGTGGAGCGGTACTTCTCTCTCTTCATGCTTGGAAGAGAGCGATTTAAACAATTAAAATGTTTGTGTGGTAAATTGGTGGTGTTTGTGGTTAATATTAGTCAGAAGTCCACTTGCGCTTGAACTTCTGGAATTAACTGGGGTTTTGTATGCACACTAAGCCTTTTTGAACCTTCCTGGACTTTGGAGCTCTTTGCTTTTTTTCACTCCTTGGTGAGTTCCTTTTGTGGATGTCTATGCATAAAGAAGTGCTGTGAGTAAAACATCTGTACTGGAAGGATGGTCTTATCTCATTTTGACAACCTGTATATGTTGGCTGTTACTTTATTCTGATTGCAGTGTGTAGTGGAACACTTCATTAATGTTGTTCAGAGAGTCTATCACACTTCTAGCCAACAGGTTTCCCTCTTCTGTCTGTTTTACGTGGTCTAGGGACAAGCTGTCAGAGTGGTGGAATATAAACTTAAAGACATTAATAAAGTATTGAGGAATTAATCATTCTGCTCTGAGAGTCTTATGCCTCTGGAATTTTTTTAATCTAACAATTAAGAAAATAGCTAGAGCTACTCCAGGTTGCAGTTAATGCTCTCAAAATTCAAGCTCCTATTTGGAAGTCTTTCTGCAATGTTTGTTAAGGCTTTTACCCTTGTCTTAGTGTTCAGGACCCTTGGCATCCATTACTTCAAAATAGTATTGGGGGGAGTGGGGCACAGGCCACAGAGTGTTTTGGGCCAACTTGGAATTTAAGTCAGTTAAGGTACATGCAGAAGGATTTTTTTTTGGTTTGTTTTGGAAGACTACCTCTCCCAGTCAAAACAAACCCCACCTTCTAGAGACCTCTGAGGTTTGCTCACCCCTGCTCCCCCAAGAGACTGAAGTCACTAATACTTGAGCAGGGCAGTCTTTGAGCCTCAGGTATGTAATTCAGAATAGTGACCTTGGGTAGCAACAGGGTGTGTGGGGTGCTGATGTAGTATCTCTCCTGTAAGTAGATGATGCCAAAATAGGGCCTCTTGCAGCAGCATGAAGAGAACTGGCAGGAAACAGCTCTGGTTTAACAGTCTTCACTTTAGTAGTCCATAGGTATCTAAGCAACTGGCTTAAAGAATGATGCAGCTGTGAATGCTACTCCACAGTCTCAAGAGTTGCTCCTTCTGTGTATGTGTGCAAAGATTAAGTCACTGTGAAACTATTTGTGACTTTAAACCTGGTCCATTTTGTGTTTTATTCTTGATACTGTGCTTATCAGAGAGTCTGATTATGAAAAGGGCCTTATGCTTTTGCCTAGAGGGTTTAAGCCCTTCCAAACCTGTAAGTATTGATATTATCTATCAGTAAGTAGATTGTTTTGCAACGGATTGTGAAGTGTACTGAATGGGACCATTCACTAGTTAGAAAACATGTATCTGAAGAGGATGATTTGCCACATTGGACCTACAGCTGTTGTTCCTGTTGGGAAGAGATTGTCACTGAGCAGGATGGTATTCCAGTACCACAGACTGTGCTCTTTTTGCACAGCACTGCTGCTTGGATTTGGTAGGGTGACCTGTTTGTGCTGTGGTGATGCTGTCTATTTTTGCTGAAAATGGCTTTTCTCTTATTTCCCGGTAGGAATGAAGAGGAAAGGGAGGACGATGGGACTCTGCTGGGTCGTTTTCCCTGCATGGGGATGCAGAGAGGAGCTATTAAAGAAAACTATGATTTGCGTTCTCACTACTTCCTTGCTGTTCTCTGTGCCTCAGAGTGCTTTTAGCATGCTGGGAGATTGGAATAAAGAGGTGATGAGGCTTCACTCCCCCATTGTGGCTTTTCTGCACATTTTGACTATTGAGCTGCCAATAATCCCTGCACTGAAGTAACTGTCAAAGGAAAAATGATAGTAGAATACCCCCTTCTGGAAACAGGAGTCCTTGAATAGGAAGAGGAGAATGATTACAGGTGATTTACCTTTGCAATACAACTGCCTAGTTACCAAAGATCACATCAAAAGCAAGTTAGATCTTAAAAGGTGAACAGCCCCTTTTTGTGGAGCTTCAGATAAGCTTTGATGCAGATCTGCAGGTGACTTTCTCTTCACGGCTTCCCCTGGTTAGCTACTTGCTCCATTTCGTGCAGGAGCACAAAGGTGGTGTTTTCCTTATCCCCCCTTTCCTCTGTGAGAGCACCAAAACCTCTAAGGGATGGCAGGACTGGGAGAGCGGCTGTGAGCAGAGCCATTGCTTGTAAGAAAACATCCCAAGAAGAGGTCATGCTGTGAGAAGCAGTGTCATCTTCATTTATAGACTTCAGTTGCCTTTTAAAGGCAAGCAGACAGTGGGATGGTTCCTCTGGGAAAATAAATTTTGTTGGATTGTGTTAATTTATGCCAAGGGCTATTACACTGGCAAGCTGAGGAACAGGCCAGCCCCTTATCCAAATATTTAAAAAAGTAGAGACTACCTACATTGGAAACCTTAACATTCCTTAGGATAACTGTCTCCTTATCTCTACAGTAGTTTAATGACCTGGCTGTGAATTTTGGCAGATTACAAAATCCTGGGAAAGCCAAAATGCAGTTGCATGTGGTGTTTCTAAAGGTCACTCAGATGATGGGTGAATGGTTTGGGTATTCATGAACTCGGTCGCTTGCAGATATCCTGTAGGCCTCAAGGCTCTGTTTTCATGTATGTCAGGGGAATTCTTGAAATGGAATTTGTCTGCCTAAATGTGGCCTTTTCATTGTTGCAGCTGGGTAACATCACTGGGTTACCTACACCATGACCCCTTCGCAGATAGTAGAAGCCAGCACTGGAGAATGTATTTCATCTGATGTATTGTAGGTGTCCAGTTCAGGCTGGGATTGGCCATGCCCTGCAGGCAGGAGGTTACCACCATACAGTCACTGCACTGAAAATACGTTTATATTAATCCTTATTGTCCTCTATTCTGCAGGCCATGGTGAGTATTTAGAGCATGTTGGGAGTTTCAGCCCTATCCTTTGCCCAGAGTTTGCACAGGTTTTGATTGACCTGGCCTGTGCCATCTTGCTTCTGATCATTGAAATTATTAGTTGTGCAAATTAGCTTGTAGATGAAATGGAAGAATTTATTTCAAAGTGAAATAACGAGTTCACTGGATGGAAACTGTTTCCTGTTGTAAAGCAAACCTACTTAAATTGCAAGTGGAGCAGCTTGGTAGCAAAGAGGGGTGGCAGGGAAACAAATGACTTCTTTTAGAAACTTTCCCACGGGGAAGAGCTCCTTTCTGGATGGCCTGTCCTCTGTGACACTCCATGTGGGTAGCAAATTACAACTTTTTGTTTTCAGTTCAGCTGCTGTGACAAACAATGCAGCTGTCACGTGTTGCACAGCAGTGAGGCTCCC